AAGAACTGTTTGTGCTTGTGTGTGTGATTACTGCCTGAAGAGCTCCAAGAGCTTCTCATCTGTACTTTCAAAAGATTTGATCTCAACAAAAAAGTCACATGTAAGCTGCTCTATCTATGTATTTAGGTAAGCTTCCTTATGTGTCTTCCTCCCCCCATCAGTCAAATGAAGCAACTGAAAGCACCCTATCTCCTGTTTCTTCGGCTCTTCTTTAGCATTTTACCCAGAGTAGGAGCAAGTGTTCTACACACATCTATTGTCTTACTGATTTATATCAGGCTGTGAACAGCAGAGCTGGTTTTCATCATGAAAATGGACATCATGGGACTGGGGGCTCCGGGAGCAAACACTGCTAACTCCACAATATTGGCAAAAACCTTACCAGGGTAACTATCAGTGGTGAACTATCAGAGACAGGCAGTACTAGAAGCAAAAGGGAGACTTCATTAGGTTAAAATGAAAAGTCATGTTGCTATAAGACAGAACTGGGGAAAATACATAAAAAGCAAATGCTACTAGACAGATTTCTTAAAAAGGAGAAAAGCCTATATCTTGAGGTAAGTCATGACAGCAAGTATTTTCAAATGTATGGGGCTGAAATCCTGGAGCACTGAGAATTATCTAATTGGTTCCTTCTACCTGTAAACATTTTATACCATAAATTCCTAGAGAGAGTTGAGGATCACCCTACACACACACACACACACACACACACGCGCAAATTGACTGATTTTTTTTAAAGATTTTATTTATTTGACAGACAGAGATCACAAGTAGGCAGAGAGGCAGGCAGAGAGAGAGAGAGAGGAGGAGGAAGCAGGCTCCCTGCAGAGCAGAGAGCCCAATGTGGGGCTGGATCCCAGGACACTGGGATCATGACCTGAGCCGAAGGCAGAGGCTTTAACCCACTGAGCCACCCAGGCGCCCCCAAACTGACTGATTTACATTCTAAGTGAATTAAATGGTTTTGAGTCTCACAGTTTTCACTCCTAGAGAAAATGCCCCCTCACTCAGGACAGGAATCAATCTAGCAGCTGCTTAAATATCTCTGCTGACAGGGGGTTCTCTCCTTCACAAAGCAATCTGCTCTGCTGTGCAACAGTCCTTGCATTGGTTTTGTTTAATGAGGTCCACATATAAGTAAACTTTTTTTCTAAGTGAAATAAAGGGAGAGCACTAAGACAATTGAATTCAAACTTCCCGAAGTTTATAGACAATGGAACCCACGCCAACTCTGCTTCCTATTTTCCAAAAAGCAAACAGAGCCACTGCTGCTGCAACTTGGAAGTCTTTTATAATTATCTAAAAGAGCAAATCTCCTTTCTACAAGGTTCAGTGATTTGGCAGGGGTGGGTGAGAGGGCCCCGTAATCCTCTGGAAATCATTCTCACTGTTTAGAGGCATTTTAGGCCTGGGGATATTATTTTTGTCAACAATTGGAAAATACGTAATTAATTGAAAGCAATGAACCAGGGTTCTGATTCTGACCAGCACTAACTTTCCTTGTGATTGGAAAAGTCACTGAATTTCTCTGGGCCTCAGACTAGATGATTTCCATGGGCCTTTATAAAATGATCGTTAAGCTCCCCATCAGCAACACAGAAGGAAAAACAAAAAAAAATCCGAGACCACAGCATTCTTTTTGAACTTCGTGAAAGCTGTAGGAATTAAGTAAGAAATACCTGGACCTAGAATGTGTTAAGCCAATTCCTTATCATCCCTGCATTCTGGTGATTTCTGGTAATGCAGTAGACAGAGATAGCAAATGATAACAGAATATTTATGGAAAATATACTTAAATTGAGAAAAGCTGCCTAGCAATAGTTTTCCCGTCAGAATTGGGAAAAGATGGGCTTTGGTTTTGTCTTAGCAGACACTTCCTCTTAGCAGAGGAGCAACTAAGTCCAGCTGACAGGGGAGAGAGGAGAGAGAGCAGTTGGAAAACTTCTGGTCCAGGTGTCTCCAACTCCCCTTCCACCACCGCCCTGCATTAAGTGATCTAAGTATTCCAGAAAGGTGCTCAGAGCTGGGTCTGGCTTTGGAGTGGACTTTGCTCCAGGATTATCCAAAGATCTCATTTACATTTACCTGAACCACTCTCCAATCCCCACACACCTAAGAACTTCCAAACTCCTCTCTCTCCAGGAAAAGACTCAGAAACTGTTTCATCAGGAAGCGAGACACCCTCTAGCTCTTTTTAAATAGGCTCCACACCCAGCATGGAGCCCACTGGCACGGAGCTTGGGATTGAACTCACCACCCTAAGATCAAGACCTGAGCTGAAATCAGGAGCCCCGATGTTCAACCGACTGAGCCACTCAGGCGCCCCAGACACTCTCTAGCTGTTAACAGAATCAGAAACCTTAATTAATAAAACCCCACTTCCACCTGACAGATTGATACAGAAAGGTGTGTGCTCAAAGTTAGCAAGTTTGAAATTAGTGGGAATGCCCACTACCACCAAAATGCACTTGGAGGCCAGCCAGCCAGCCCGACCGCCAACACGTAGAAAGCAAGCTCTATTATTAAACATTAACATATCCACCTAGGCATGAACGTTTTGGAACAAAATAATCCTGCCCACTTCTTGAGGGCTGTTGTTAGAAGGAACACTGCAAAGGCTCTGAGCATCTTGAATTTGGGGAAAGAAACGGCTCCCTTGAACCAGAAGGGGGACAAATCTTAAGAACCAATGTTGCAGAGTCATCATCACGAGAGCCCCTTCAGCAGGAATCACACTGCACTTGTGAGGCACTTCTGGAAAGCTAAGGACAAGACACTTAGCGTGTCATCTAACTTTGAATGTATGGGGTCACATGCTTTCATGACCCCCTCGGTCCCCCGCAAAGAGCCTGCAGCGAACAAACAGCCAGACGCGAAAAGCAAATACAGATTTCAAAACAGCCCAACAGACATTGGACCACCCTTCACGGGACTCCGGAGGGCGATGGGCACACCGTTTTCCCTGAGGGTCTTCAACACAAACATCCAAACAAGTCGCCGAGGGCGGGCACACTGGGCACGACCAGGAGATCCGCGGGCAGCTCCGCATTGGCCTTTAAGGGGGCTCACCAGGCGATCCCGAGAGTAATTCTTACCCAATTTCTTTTCTTCTCCTATTCAAGCGCCCTCCATCTCTAACGAAGGGGGCATTACAGCAAGTCAAAGTATTATTTCCCGGCTCCCAAGTTTCCTTTGACGATTAATATATAGAACGCAAGGACCCAGCGCTGAGCCCCGGGAGAAGCTAACGCTTCACACAGCTATCAAGATTGCCATCAGGCCCCACCCCCGCGATTGCGACAGTCACCGATAGCCGTCGAAGTTGTATAAGGTACCATAAGTTTCCTCGCCGGCGCCAGAGCCAAAGCGCGCTCAGAAGAGCTGACCATAATTTCGTGTTTTGGTTGTTCAGTCTTTATTATTGCCATCATGATGCAGGCTATGTTGGTTATAGAAACTGTCGGGATCTTCAGGTCTCTTCCTTCCTTTGCCGCCCTCAATTGACACAGGCCCCCGGGGGAGCTGCGAGGCCCTTGAGGCCCAGTGTCCCTCACCCGTCTCAGGCCCGGGGACGCCACAGTGGCACGGGAGGGGGAGGTGCGGCCGGGAAAGGGGAGCCGGGTCCCCCAGAAACACAGGAGTGAGGGCCCCGGCGCCGGACCAGAATGCGCACGATTCCCTCCGATTTCTCAAATCCTTATCGGCTCCCGGAGGTGGGGACCGCCGCTTTCCACCAGAAGATACCCGGTTTCTGGCACAAGTCCCACAGTGGAAGTCCGAACAAGAACAAATCAACCCAGGCACTGAGCTCTCGGGGCCAGTCATCCCTTCCCTTCGCGGCTCGCTTCCCAAATCCCCGCACACCACCCCGCACCCCTGCGGCTGATCCGCCCGGGCACAGGCCGCGCGTTCTATTCCATTCCCCTCAAAACCCAGCCCCGCCAAGCCGCCGCTGAGGATGGGACTGAAAACGCCAGCCCACCGGGACAACCCTGCCGGGATCAGAGGAGTAGGGGGCCAAGCGGCCACTCTCGCACGATCGCGGGAGGCGAGGCCGTACCCACGCTTGCGTGGCCGATCGGTGTATTCACACGCGTGGCCGGAGTGGACCGGGCGGGGAGCGGCCGGGAGGGGGCGGGGAGGCAGTGAGAGTTGGCCATAATTGCCTCTCACCCAGTGCTGAGAGGCTCGAGAGGGCAGACGGGCAGATCGCGGCTGCCCTTCTCTGCCCTCTTGAGAGAGAAACACCAGAACGGCCGGGGGCACCCGGTGTCTCCATTCTCTCCCGGTACACCAACGCATCTGCCCTCGCGAGGTAACCCGGCCCACCACACTCTCTCCTCCCGAGGCAAGGTGCGGGATCTGGAAGGGGGTTTCTCCAAGCTTCAGTGGGGTCTGCAAACCCGGAGTAAGGCCCTTTGAAGCGTCCTGGCCCCTCCGCGGAGGCGCGTCCCAGCGGGGCGCTCCGTCTCCGGCCCCTTGGCCAGTTTGCGGCTCAGTGAGATTACAGCAGCTCATTTGGAAGGACCCATGGGGTCCCAAGGAAAAGAGACTAGTGGATGCTGCCCACCACACGCGAGACCGGAAAAGGTTAAGAGTTGACCCGGGTCAAATCAACCCAGAAACATTTCAACATGCTGGCCACTTGCGTTGGGAGGCGGGGGTGGGGGGGCGCTGGAGCCGCGGCGATCTGGAAAGGTTCCGCGCGCCACAGCCCCTCCGACCTCCAGGGCCATCTCCCTGGGCCTCCTGGCCTCATCGCGCAGGCAGACTCGCGACTTCTTCGTGCCACAGACCCCTCCACTGCGAAGCCGAAGCGCCGCGTCCGCAGACGGGGCACCTGCTCTCCCGCCCCCCGCCAAAGCCCTCCACACCGATCCTCCGGCCTCAAACACCCCTGCGGACTCGTTTCCTAGACGCTCTCGGTCGCTCCGGCCCCATATGGGGTGGCCATCCCCCTCAGACCAGCTCCCTGGCCGGCGCAGACGCCCGCTTACCTTTTCTTCTCCTTGTCAGCTGTCATTGTCGCCGTGGCGCTGAGACGCCAGACACCTGAGCTCCCCGGCCGGTGGGGATTTCAGTCGCCGCCTTCGCTGTTGCCCTCGCCTACTCCTTGTGGCCCGAGCGGGTGTTAAAGGTCCAAGGTGCTCGCAGGTCCCGAGCGCCCCGCACCGTCAGGTGGAAGTTTGCGGGCTGCCGGCTAGGTGCGGGGAGGAGGGTGGAGAAAGGTCCCGGGGAGGAACCTGCACGGGGAGGCGGGGTCGGGGAAAGGAGTGGGAGGAGGTTGTCAAACCCAAAAAGAGGGCCGCAAGAGCGGGACCTTATTCCTTTTTCCCACGAAGAGAAGTCACTTTTCTGGGTTTTCAAAAAATAAAGATAAGAAGTGGCTGCAGTGACTGGAGTTGGAAGAGTCCAAGGCCGGGCGGGCGCGACCGCGGAGGTGACCATACAGTCTCAGGACACTGCCGAGGATTGTACAGCCGCCTCAGGATAGCGCTGCGTTGAGTGCACGGGATGTGTCGCGGACCGCTCTCAAATGTCCGGCTCCCGGGGCCGCCAGCCCACTTTAAAAACTCCTGCGGCCGGGCGGGGGAGGGCGCGGGGGGCGCGGGCGCAGGGAGCGGGGGCGGGCGTGCGCCGGCAGGCCCCGCCCCCGCCCACCCCGCCCGCGCCGCGCCGCGCCGCGCGCCCGGGCAGCCCACTGCGTCCCGGCCAATGGGGAGGCGCGGCCGCAGCCTCTGCCCTGACCCCGGCCCGCCCCCTGCCCCCGCGCTCTGCCCCGCCGCGGCCCGCCTGCCCCGCCTCCTCCCGGTGCAGTTCCAGAAGTTGTTTATGAGGTCGGCGGGGTGGCTGGTGGCAAGGTGGGAGTCCGCACCGGGCAAGCGTAACCTAAGTGGGGCTAACCGGCCGCGAGCAGTCGGTCTCCGGGAGTGCCGCGGACAGCGGGAGTGCCCCTTTGCACCTAGGCGTCCTTTCACCTCTGCCGTACCTTTGGGACAGGGCATGGCCGCGAGCTCCGAGGGTCGCGTGCTCTGCCACGCCACGCAGAGCCGCTCCCGCGTCCCTCGCTCTGTAGCCTGGTTCCCGGGCCCTCTGGGGATAATTCCGAGGGCCCAGCAGCGGCGCTCGGAGCCTAGGCGTTGCATTTTTCCCCGTCAGAACGCAGCTGACGTTGCCATCCGAAAGAAGAGGCAGGGAAACCGATCACCTGCTCCTGTCGGGTCTGAGGAAAACAGTGCAGTGAAATAGAGCTAGGGCTTCATCTGCTCTTCCCTTCCCTCACCTGTTTGCTTGAAGGGTCGTGTTGGACTGTGTGGCTTTGATGAGGATGCGGGACAGGCGAGCCCTCTCTTCGAGCCAGGACTTGGTGCACTCTACTCCGAACGCCTGACCACCACCGCGCGGGCCTGGGCTGATTGAGAATTGGACAAGTCGGTCTGGCTTCCTAGTGTGATTTGGGGATAAGAACTGACAGCGAGTCCTCAAATCACAGGATCTCAGACCTGCCCTATGTGTCTCCAATGTTTTATTGAAGCGCTAGGAACATCAAGTCTGCAGGTGTTGAGTGTGGAGAGATCAGAGATCTAAGGGGGCAGGCCATTAGAGCTCAGGGATTTTCAGACGCGCACCTATGCTGGCCCCGGGGAACTTAACGCTCCATGTGCCTCGATTTGCTCTCCCAAGAATTCCACCCCACTTACTACCTACATTGTGTTGATCCAGACCTCAGGATGGGACAGGGGAGGCTCAGTCTTCCAAGCTTTGAGAAAAGTTTCATAGGGTGTGAGTGGAAGAAAAGAGAAAGCAAGGGCCACGGGACTGGTAGCCCTCACACTGAGAGGCTTGCTGTACGTTTTCCCCATAAGCCTTGTCATGTTTTATAAATGTTCTACATAATGAAACTGCCGGACTTTATGCAAAGTGAGAAGAGCCAGTCACAAAAGGAAAAATACTTTATGATTCAGCTATTATGATGTATCTACAGGAATGAAATTCACAGGAACAAAGTAGAAAGGTGCTTGTAGGGGGGGATGGGATGGAAATTAGTAGGTAATGGGTATACAGTTTTGCTTGTGCAAGATGAAAAAATTCTAGAATCTGTTGCACAAAATGTGAATGCATTTAACTCTGCTTCACTGTACACTTAAAAATGGATAGGGTGGTAAATTTAATGCTAGTTTTTTTTTTTTACCACAATTCAAAAATAAATATCAAGAAAAAAAATCATAAACAGAACTTTTTTTGGTATAGGTCTGTGTTATCACCAAAATACAAAGTAAACATATTTTTCCTTTGCACACCAGGAGGGGTGGGGCTGCTTTTCAGGGCCTTTGGAAGACACTGGAAAACAGAATAGGAAAAGGAGAAAACTTGCCGAGAACTGGGGAACCAGGCACGTTTTCTTATTTTCCTAGAGCCATGAGCACTGTGTACACAGACTTTGAAATCAAACATCATGCCTGACAGCCAAGGGATTCCAACAAAGATTGCAAATCTCTCTAGGGAGCCATTTCTTGAGGTTGGTGGGTTTCAGAAATAAGAGAGATTTCACTGGGCTTCTCCAGCCATCCAGGGCTCGTGGACACATTTATCTTAATAAAAAGATTGGTAGGACACAGTGCTCCCTTAATCAACAATAGGCTTACTTGTCTCACGTGGTGCTGGAGTGGGAGAAGAAACAGGTGCTTTGGTGGCTTCCAGGTGCTCAGGATGTTCACTGCCCAAGGAAGGAGAAAATTCTTGAGTCCTGGGCTATGGTTGCAAGTCACAAAGCAACACCTCCAACCTACATAGAAGATTTCAGCAGTGCTGAGCTTATGAAATTAGATTTTTTGATATTTTAAAAGAAAGAAGAAAGGAAAAGCATCACTCAACACATCTACCACATGAATATTGCTTCTTCCCCACAGCCAGCCTGCCCATCTTCTAAGTGGGATTTTGCCCTCTAAGTGAAAGGTCCTCAAGCTCTGATAAACAACAGCATGGATATTATGAAAATCCCAGTGAGCAACTTTGAAGAGTCTGGGATTTGGGCAGTGTCTGAGAAATTCACCAAAGCCCTCTATAGAAGGATTGGACCCAGCCTTGCTTAGAGCAGAGCTGAGCAGCCCAATGACCTCTGACAATTTCTTCCAGGATTCAGTTCAAAAACCTCTGCAGGAAGGAGCTGAGAGTGTAAACCCAACGCAGGCCTAAGGCTAGAGTGTCCCATTTTGCTCTTTAATGCCATGAAGCACTACAGGAGAAAAGCTTTAAAAGATGATGGCGGAAAGAGACGGATTCCAGGATTTAGAGGAGTGTCTCTAGAGACAATGATCTTTTGGCCACAGAGGGCAGCAGAGGGCATCACTAGGCAAAACTGCCAAGCTGCTTAAAATGGGAGTAACTACCCATCTCCCAGCAAATCTCTCCACCTGTGCCCCAACCCTAGACTGGACAGCTTGGCAACACAGTCTGTTACCCCAGGAGAATATGACTTGTTTTCATGCGGGGCAAGACTGGGTCTCTAGCTTCCTCTCTCTTCTGTAGAGCACACATACCCTTAGAAGAATGGGATAGTTGGAGACCAATAATAGTTAACGCATAGACTTGGTAGAGAGCAGGCACCTGGGCTGCGGTGGGCAGGTGGAAGATAGAGGGCCTCGGTAATCCTGTTAGAGTAACAGTGTGACCCAGGATGCAGCTGGAAATTAGGTTGGGATGGGTGAGATCTAATAGGAGAGGAGATCTTGGAAGGCTGGGCTATTTCTTCAGCATTTTACAACTTTCAATGTATTGTCACATGTCAGGGCTGGGGTGCAAAATTTCAGGGGGCATTCACTCTCGGATGGTACTAGCCTGAGCCCTGCACGTGTGTTATCTCATGTAATACCCATCAGGCCCCAGTCCTGCCATTTATTGGATTGGATGGGAAGTCACCCCTTCCCAACATTTGCCTGCTAGTCCTCCAAACAAAACCAGCTCTTAAATTGTGACTTTAGGAGTCTATCCTCATGCTCGTCTGAACTCCATCACCAGAAAATCATACCTCCTGTGTTTGGCTTCAAGCCAAAGCCTGAACATATATCTACGGTTAAACATGACTTTTAACTCTGCAAATCCAGATTTTGCTATCTTTCAAAAAGAATTCTGGGATTCTTATTGAGGAAAGTGTTGAACATTTTTTTCTACTTGAATTCTTAGTGCCTTCTAAGCAGAAGGATCCAGTTTTAAAGAACCACTCTTTCCCCACCCACACCCCCACATCTGGATTATCAGTGACTTAGAGACTAATCTTTGCCGAGGAAAGGTCTCATGCGTTTATCATTTGGTCATTTAACAAATAGTGAACAAATAGTGGTCCCTGGCCACTGTGTGATGCCGATTCAGGGAGAATGGAAGGAATTAATTTGGAGGGAGAGAGAGCTGGTGGTTCCCTTTCCTCTAAGAGAAGCCAGTCCAGTTGTGCACTCGCTACATTTCCCAGATTATGAGACACACGTTTGCTTTCTTTTTAAGGCTTTTGAAATCAGTGAGCATCAATAAGTAATGATTCCTTTCTTCCTCTCCCAAACCACCTTTAAATTAATATATGTAATTTATATATTCTTAAAATGTTTTCAATATAAAAGTTGAGAGCAGAATCATATGCTCTGAACAATAGGTGTCATTAAGGATTTGGTGGTGGTGGGTGGAGGGTGGAGAGAGTGAATAAGGAGGAAGATAAAGCTGGAGTCCCAGCCACCTTGACTGCTCGGAGTCAGAGATGCCTCGCCCAGACTGGCTCTTCTGCTAGGCTGGTGGGTGCGATCTCCGTGGGAGGAATGGCCTATAGGAAGGATGTGCCAGCCCCACCTTGGAGTAGAAAGGGCACAAGCAGACATGAAGGTACTACTATCAATAGAAGTGATGACATTAGGCCTCAAGCAGCACTGCTCTGAAGTCTGGTAACTAAGAATGGCATAAAGCGAGGGTCAGAGACACCTTCCTCACTCCTACCGTATGGCTTCCGCCTATAAGGGGTGTTAAAACGGGACTTTCTCTAGCTCAGTTTCAAAATACAGAACTAGCAAAAGAGCTTTTGAAATGGTTTGGTGTGCTTTAGTCAATGCCCACCTCAAGAGAGTGTACAGACTGATAGAGATAAGGACTATCCAAGAAGTTGGATTTCTAGGATAGACTCGTCAACGTCATGGAATGTCCCCTCCCCACACCATGGACAAAGGTTTGCCATTCAGCCGTCTCCAAGTCCAGGGACTGGGGCTTACTGGAGACCTCGAAAGAGCCTGATGCTCATCCCCTGCTACTTGAGGGACTTGGGAGACTGCCCCCAGGTAAGAGGCTGGCTAATGAGGCTGCGGGAGCCAGATGGGGGGCTGGGTTTGAGGCTTACTCTCACTCACCTAGTCATGGCACTGGTGTGTTTTGCAGGTTGGATTCCCCAACAAGCCAACAAGATGGGGGGATTAGCATTCAGCAGGTTCTTGAGGGAGTGCCCTTGGGATCAGCACCTGGGGGAGGGAAGGGACAGAAGCAGGACTGGGGCAGAGGGCAAAGTAGAGCCTCCATAAAGGTCTCATCCGACCC